ACTTCTGTTCCCCAGTACTGCATATACGGCAGCTAGCGCTTACTTGAGGTGTAGTCTTGATTACAGGTAAGGAGGTCACGGTAGTCAGGTTTTCGCTAATTTAAACCTGGGTGATATGTGACGCCAGGCCCACGTGACACACACACACACACACACACACATACACACACATGTACACTTCCTTCTCTTCACCACAAAGCAAAAAAGTAGGTGAACTGTGTCGGGACTGACCAACCTCACCTAACTTTCCTTAATCCCGTTTATTTAAAAGTTTAGTTATGTTAAGAAAGCGAAGTGAATCTCATCGGAAAAAGATAACCTAACCTAACCTAATGTAACCCGTAATATATAAGAATCCGTCGGTGTTGTCGGGTTACGTCGCACTATCATCCCCCAACAAACACGTGATTTGTGGAAATTTTAGCCAATGAGACACCACTAAAGTGACCTACTGACCCAGATCATTAGTCATACTACACAACCACTGTAAATAACTAACTAATATATACCACACGTAAGATAGTTATATAGCAAATGTATTTTGTATAATGTATCTAATTTGATTTTATTATATACCTTGTTTAAAGCAATTTATATTATATTAATTACACCTATTAAGTCGAATTTATCATATATTATCATGACCTCATTAATACACAACAGGTAATTAGAGTTAACAATATGTTATCTTTAAATTGGATGAATATTAATCTTTTATATACGGGATATCTCTGTTGAATAAAATCGTATGGCGTTAATATATACACTAATATAAATTAACATAAAGGTTTTGACAGGTGAAAAAATATAAGCAACTATAAATATTTTTATTATAAGATAATACAAACTTATAAAGTCAGTCTTAATGGAGGAATAGTCATAAATTATCATATTTGGCTTCATTAAAATTGATCTTTTCATAGTGATCAATGACCTTATTTGACCTTCCTGTAGTTATCATTGACCTTATTTGACCTTACTGTAGTGATCAGTGACCTTATTTGACGTTCTTATTGTGATCACTGACCTTATTTGACCTTCCTGTAGTGACCAATGTCCTTATTTGACCTTCCTGTAGTAATCAATGAACTTTGACCTTCCTGTAATGTTTGATGACCTTATTTGACCTTCCTGTAGTGATCAGTGACCTTATTTGACCTTCCTACAGTGATCATTGACCTTATTTGACCTTCGTGTAGTGATTAGTAGTGACTTTTTCAGCCCTACCTTATCATTTATGTCAGTGAGAGAGTGACTATTTCCATCAATGTCATTATCATCAATATTAATGTCCTCCTTTCTTAATTAGTGTCACTCATTTATGTCACTCATTACCATTGTTAGTGAGTGCCGCTGTCATTCGTGTTGCTATCGGTGCTTTTTGTTTACCTGTCAGCACCTGTGAATAAGTCAACGCTATTGTCACGCAGGATGGTGTGGGGTAGTGGCACCACACACTCACCACAACGACTTAAGTACCCTGGTTCACTATGGCAGATTAGAGTCAAAAACCTTTTATAGAGATACTTCTGTGTGTGTGTGTGTGTGTGTGTGTGTGTGTGTGTGTGTGAGGACCTGTGTTTGTTCTACAGTGTAATATGATGAAAAACCTTACCACCTTCACCAGCCTCACACACACACACACACACACACGGTCGAGGTATCCATCGTTTCCTACAATTCTCGGACCCTCTCTGTTCCTCTTCCTCTCCTGTGGGCGGCGAGGGAGGGAGAGGGAGAGGGTGGGTGGGAGTGACCAGGGGTGGCGTCTAGTGTACCGTGAGATGGTCCCGGAGCCGCCCCCTGGCCACCCCTTTGACCTGGAGCCCATGAAAGGCCACCCTGCTAATAGGGTTTGGGGTTCAAGCAAGGGCGTGGCCACGAGGCGGAAACTGGTGGTCGCCGCCCTACAAATTGGACCCCTGGGTGGCTGGGTCGTCCGTCTGGTGGAGGGGGGAGCGAGGCAAGGTATTCCACGCTCTGTTTACGCCACACATTCAGATGGCACAACTACAACTCTCTAAACCTGTTGTAATGTTATTTTTTTGTTCCTTTATTGTATTTCTATAACTAAATTCTAACTTGGTGTTGAGGAAGACATACTGACACATACTATATCTTAAGGAAATTCATGTTATCTAAGGACGTTAATGGTTCAACTGTGTCGCCGTCCAGGATTCAACTCTCTGTCATGTTCAGGTTAATACCATTCGGCTACAGCGGCTGGTGGCTGAGTGGTATGCTGACCCTCTGCATGAGTGTTGGTGACTTAAGCTCGAATCCTGGACGAGAATTTGTTTATTTACTGTTTAATCCTGAGACTTTATAATGAGAAGCAGCGTTCACCAACCATAGGATAAACACACTATATAACCCACTAGAGTACTGTAGGTGTCAGGGATTACCGAGTGTGCCAGGTGGTATAAAACAGGTCTCCATTCTTCACCTGTGACGTGTCAGTGACCCCCAATTGGATGGTTAAGTCATTAAATTTTTTTTGTGATTTTTGCTTCGTGGTTTTCAAATCCTCTTTGGTTTTTGTGGTCTGTGAAAAATATTCATAAATTCATACTTTTCATCTTATTGTTACTGTTATCAGGTTATAAAACAGTTCTGATTTATTCTATTTTATGAGAACATTGTTTGTTTTCCTCTCATATGACATGTTGAGATACTAAACACCTTCGTCCCGCCAGGCACCTCTATGTCAACAAGGAACATTTACTCGTACTGTGGTTCAGATACAATACTATTAGCGACATGTGATTGAGTTAGGTATACTGGACTAAACTCTAGCCGGCAAATCGACGACGAGTTCTGTGGGGTCCTCTGTGGTTCTGTGGGGTCCTTTGTGGTTCTGTGGGGTCCTGTGGAGTCCTTTGTGGTTCTGTGGGGTCCTCTGTAGTTCTGTGGGGTCCTTTGGTGTCCTGTGGGGTTCTCTGTGGTCCTATAGTGTCCTGTGTCACTGCCAGGTTGCTCATACACAACTCCTAGCGAGGTGCTCCGTCCTCCGTCGCCGCAACACCTTCCCGCCCTCCACGATGTGTCTCAGTGTTCCGTTCGTCCGTCACTCTCAGGAACACAACGATAAGTGTTTCAGAATCGGTTTAGCATTGTGTTGAAAAATGATCCTTAGATAAAATTTAAGGTAACGTTGATATAATTCTCACAACCTCCATAAAAAATTTTTTTCATCAATGGGAAAAATTTGTCCTCCATTCTTTTTTGTAACAGAAGTGGCTAAGAGAGAGTGTGTGTGTGTGTGTGGACCAGCGCCTCCTGTGTCCGGACAGAAGTGGTATAAATGTGATTTGCCAATCTTGTTGTGGGCCGACGGTCCACGGATTGACTATTATTTTATTGTTGTCTTCTTGTTGACCACATCCCTCTTACCTCGGTTATTGAAAGATGGCTGAAGTAGTAGTAGTAGTAGTAGTGAGGTAATAAAATGGTGGCGAAGGTGTGGCTACTGTGGGAGGTTGGAGGTCAAATTAAAAAGAAAGTAGTTGTAGTCGCACACAGTAGTAGTAGTTGCAGTAGTAGTAGTAGAGAGCGGCCCCAAAGTCGACAACAGTTACAAATATTGACTATGAGGCTACAGTCACTGAATGCCGATAGATCTGCCGCACAACTAACTCAACACCGATAGGATAGCTACTTATGTATAAGGATATTTAATATTAAGGTAATAAAATGGTGGCGAAGGTGTGGCTATTGGGGGAGGGTGGAGGCCATTTTTTTAAGTATTATTATTATTAGAAGTAGTAGTAGTATTGCTGTATCATTATTGCTATTAATAGCTACAGTGATAATAACTAAAGTCATTATAATAATATAATATGTTTCAGTATTTTATTTATTGACGAAACAAAATTACTGGATCATATGGGCACTGTTTATTAATAATAATAATAATAATAATAATAATAATAATAATAATAATAATAATAATAATAATAATAATAATAAACGGTTTATTAATAGAGTTGCAGCCGGTGGCTGAAAATATACAGACTTATATGTGTGTGTGAGACCCTACAACTCATTTTCATCTTAGGTGTTGTGAATATGACTGATTTTTGGTAGTGGGAATATGATTTTGATCTCAAGACGTCGTGAATATGACTTACAGTGACTCATCTTCATCTCAAGCATAATGACTATGACCCCTAAATGATGTCAGAGTCTTATGAATATGACTCCCACATCAACTCAAAATCCCTGCGGTGTAGTGAAAGTGAGTTGTCAACGCCCTCCCACACCCCCACCCCCATTTTCGCAGCGTTCAAAGTAACTCCTCAGCAACCCCCCACACCTCCCGTCTCATTTTCGCGGTGTTGTGAGTATGAGCGTGTGAGTTAGTGAGAGAAAATGGGAGGGCGAGGAGTCTCTTATGAGTGGGTGCATCTCCGTCTTATTTGTTTATCTAGCGTCTTTGAGGAGCCTTTTAGTAGAGCTGAGACCAATTTACTCCCGACCCCTGGAGTGTGTGTGTGTGTGTGTGTGTGTGTGTGTGTGTGTGTGTGTGTGTGTGTGTGTGTGTGTGTGTGTGTGTGTGTGTGTGTGTGTGTGTGTGTGTGTGTGTGTGTGTGTTTTATATATTAATACACACAGGGAGACCAAAACCAGTGTTGCCATATCTAGTCACCAAAATGTCCCCATGCTGAATGTTGATGAAGGTGTCTGACGTAGAGTGTTTACAACTTTTAGGACTTGTATAGGAAACATACTTTGTAGCGGGGAGATCCACACAGTAATAAACCTTACCTTACCTTACCTTACCTTACCTTACCTTACCTTACCTTACCTTACCTTACCTTACCACTCATCCACAGCCCCCCTTAAACATAATATTATTGGTAAAAGTAAAAAAAAAATATAATACCAAACTCGTAAGAAATAATGACTAAATAACGGGACGAATTTATTGAGCCTAGATAATTCACTACTGTGTTATGAGAGTGGGGAGGACAGTGGCCCTCTGGTGAACCTACTTAACACTATCTGGGCAGGGCTTGGCGGGGGCAAGTCCTGACGGGGGTAGGTCCTGACGGGGGCAGGTCCTGACGGGGGTAGGTCCTGACGGGGGCAGGTCCTGACGGGGGTAGGTCCTGACGGGGGCAGGTCCTGACGGGGTAGGTCCTGACGGGGGCAGGTCCTGACGGGGGTAGGTCCTGACGGGGGTAGGTCCCGACGGGGCAGGTCCTGACGGGGGCAGGTCCTGACGGGGGCAGGTCCTGACGGGGAAGGTCCCGGACGGGGGCAGGTCCTGACGGGGGTAGGTCCTGACGGGGGCAGGTCCTGACGGGGGTAGGTCCTGACGGGGGCAGGTCCTGACGGGGGTAGGTCCTGACGGGGGCAGGTGAAGGTGAAGCTTGTCCACGTCCTCTGGGTACCTCACACCTCTCGTCCACCTTCAGGTTCACAAGGGCTCGTTATGGCTGGTGAGTTATCCACTGAGTTTACCAGAGAACCACCACACACTGTTGTCATCATCATCATCATCATCATCATCATCATCATCATCATCAGTAATAGTAGTAGTAGTCGTATTGTTATTATTATTATATTATTATCATCATCATCATCGGTAGTACTCGTATTATTATTATTATAGAGCCAGGTTGAAGGTGTTTACCTGGTGGTCACAGCTGGGACGCTCTTATGTTGTCGAGTCCTCGTTCTGGCGGCTCTTTTATGTGACGGTAATTACCCAGATTTTCCCAGGTGACTCTCCGTGGCCCCTTCCCGCGCCCTCCCGCCGTCCCGCCCCTCACACCTCACACACCACAACCTCTAAAACACCTCCAAAGACTTTATTTTCCTCCCATCACTTATAACCAGTCTCAACTAGAGCTCCACCCTTCATCTGTGTCTGTCTGTGTGATGGTGTTGTTTAGGAGTGATATAACGATTGATGAAACCCAAGTTGGGGTCGCGGGACGAGTATCGAATACGGTCTTCAAGTTTGTGGAGTAATTAGTGAGCTAATGAAGGTAAAGGCGTACAGACTACCCGTTCACCAAGTCTCCGTTTCATTGCCCATTTGCCCATTAAACTGTTAGCTTGTAATGTTGTTAAGACCACTTTTGTATGCATCAGCGCCAATTTAAGGGGTGGTGACTGGTCCCTGATGGCATACCTTTCCCGCCGTAATTAGCGAAGATGACGGCATCTTTGCTCGGGGAAATGAATTTACGTTGAGCATAAAGTGATTAGACGTAGCGTTACCTGCTTACCTGCTCAGGTTAATTGTACAGGTGTTGTCTAGAGTGATCATTGACCCAAGGCTGTTTTTGTTGTTTATGGTGTGTGTGTGTGTGTGTGTGTTTGTTGTTACTACTAGCTTATTACATGTTGTCACCACCATCACCGACACTACCACCACCACCATCACTGGACTGGATTACAGAGTTTTATCCTAAACAACCCAATGAAAAAATATCCTGTCCCAACTCCCTCAGACACGTGTTGTTATTTGTTTACATTTGAGGTAAAAACTCCCTGGGTGACGTTTGATAATATTTTACATTATTGACCTAAAATTTATGTAAATAATGGATGATTGAATTTACAGCATCTTATTTACCCAGATTTTTCTTCGTATATTATTATTGTTTACTTTTGTTTATTGTTTATTTACCTTTATTAACATTTATCTACATATATACCTGTACTGTATACCTTAATACCTGTACTGTATACCTTTTTAATATACAGGTATACCTTAATTAATATATATACATCTTTCTCTGTCAGGTAAGTGCCAATGTTACGTGAAGTTTCTCAAGAGTATTCCTGATTTATCAAGTACCGTACGTGGTCATAAGGTACGTTAAAATCGGTTGTTATATGTCCTTGATTTATATACTTAGGTGGATATTAACCTCTGTGAATGTTTAACTAAGAGTGGCCGGACTGTATGTTCGTGAATATGTGGTGCGTGAATGTGTAAGTTATGTACGTAGATGCTAGCGTCCGTGAATATTGAACTGAGAGGTAGGGAGAAAGTGGGCGTTAATACAAGGGTCCTTGCAAGGTTGTGGTTATACGTACGTGAATGTATAGTCTAGTACGTACGTATACGACTATATTTCATCCCGTCCGTGCTTGCTTACATCTGTCATCCCGTCCGTGCCTGCTTACATCTGTCATCCCGTTCGTGCCTGCTTGCGTCTGTCATCCCGTCCGTGCCTGCTTGCGTCTGTCATCCTGTTCGTGGTCGCTTGCATCTGTCCGTGTCTGCTTGCGTCTTCCTCCGTTCACACCTGTTACAAAATATTTCCCGCCGTTAATTAACAATTTTCTTCTCGTCTTGTTAATATAGTAATTTGAGCAGATTTATGGAGATACAAGATTGAAAACACGATATTATCCAGGTGCTTCACAATACCTCATTACCTGGGGTAGAGTCATCACCTGGGAGGACCATTACCTGGGAGGGAGGGGAGGACCACCTGGGGAGGGTCATCACCTGGGGGAGGGTCATCACCTGGGGGGAGGGTCATCACCTGGGAGAGGGTCATTACCTTAAGAGGAGGGTCATTACCCTAAGGGGAAGGGTCATTACCTTAGGGGGGTCATTACCTTAAGGGGGGTCATTACCTGATGTAGAAACCATCGTCGAAAACGTACCTGGTTATCTAATTAGAGCCAATTAAAAATAGTCAAGGTAACGTGGATGGCACGATGTTTTTTTTACCTGTGTGTGTGTGTCGTGCGTGCGTGCGTGCGTGCGTGCGTGCGTGCGTGCGTGTGTGTGTGTGTGTGTGTGTGTGTGTGTGTGTGTGTGTGTGTGTGTGTGTGTTAAGTTAAACGATGTCATTGTTGCTGCCTAACATGGTCAGGTTGAGTGTTTTAACAGGTAAAATGTTCCTATTAATTGACGCTGTTTGACTGTATCTAGCATTTGGTGCTACAAAAAACACACACACACATATGCACACACATATACTCATAATCACACACACACACACACACACACACAGACACACATGTATATACATATATCTACATGTGCGTGCTTGTATATATATGTATAAATTATTGGAGATTGGGCGGGTATCGGGAAATGGAGCGGGACATTTATTTGTCATAAAATGTTAGTTCAGCGGCATAATCCAATTGCTTCCCCCTGTTGTGTTTTGAACCGGCAGGAGAATTTTATTTTTCCCTCTGCATGTTTTAATATCTGTTGTAATTTTCACTCACATGTTTTTAATTAATATGACCGTGGAGTGATTTACTAACACGTACGATGGTTAATAATGCTAATCGTTATTTTATTGGTGGCGCAGGTGGTGAAGTATTTACTGTATTGTAGAGTGATGGTCTAACGGTGTCAGTTTGGTCTGTGTGTATGTGAGGTGTCTAGTTTTGGGTGTTTGTTGCAGTTTCTTGGGTTAGATCCCGTCCTGGGGGTGTGGAAACGTGTTTAATTGGTTCCATTTTTAAGAAACAATAATGCCCTGGTGGTTTGAAATGGCGATATTTCACTGAGACTCGACCCACCAGATGTGAGATTTTGTCTCCATTAAGGCTAATTAATTTATCTTTAGACTAATTAATTTATCTTTAGACTAATTGTAATTATATTCCTTGTGTAGTAATTGGCTCATGTAACTTTAAATGTATTTACACATTTAAAGAAACGTTGTGAACTCCATTATTTATGAATAAATAAAATAGAATTGTTTTGGTGTAACGTGTAAATATAATAAAAGAATGAAAATAACAAGAAACGGCGATTAAACGTGTGAGTGTTGAGATGTTTTGAGATAAACAATAGGTTGGTGTCCCCATCTGGCGGGCGGCGCGGCGTGCGTCAAGCGGTGGCTTCTCAATCTCCGCTTGGGATCACCAACTCAGGCTGCCAACACCTCGAAAATTATACATCTCTCCAAAACTCTCATTCCGGCATCTTGTCTCTGCCTGTCCAAACCCCAGTGTTTGTTCTTGATTAACCGCTAATTAAGTGTTTATTGGGTTGAGTTTAGGCTCTTTACGAATCCTGGCAGGCAGGTCGGGGGCAGGTTGGCCGCGGTGTGGGGGAAAGTCGACGGAATGTTGTGACACCCAACTTTGACTATCGGGCAAAGTCCTCAGGGAAGTCGCGGTGTCCTCCTCGTCTCATATCAACGCTCATCAGGTCTCATCTTGGCCACCCCACAATGACCCAAACGTCCCAGAATGGATCGTTGGTGGTCACGTCTCTCTCCTTCCTTCGGCAAGTGTTCTCCTTCGTCAGCACCATACAAGCACAGTGTCTTAACGTCTCACTACCTTCCTAAATACGTAATGAGTAAATACCAATGCGTTTTTGGTCATTTGGTTGTTTAGATCCTGAAGGAGAAGACGGACACGGTGTCGCTGTAATAAGAAGTCGTTGATCCATTGTGAAAATGTGGCGAGACCCGGAGCGCCGTGTCCATCATGCTCGTTAAGGCGGGAAAATTGAAGTTTGCCCGCCAAGATGAGGTTTTGGTGGGATTCAGTACTGAGATTTGGCGGGAAAACTAATCCTGCAGTCCACTTGACTTGGGGCCAAGTGGCGCGGATCTACCAGTCCACAATTGGGTGTTATGGGTCAATCTCTAACCACTGATGGATTTTCAGATGAAACGGAGAGGGCGGGAGGATCACTGTGGGCACCGGGAGCTGTCTTGGGCCCCGCTACCACCTCATGAATACAACCATTGTCTTAACAGTTTATTTTTAACACCGCACCTCGCCTTAACTACCTACCTCATAATATATGGATTTAAAATAACATATATTTTATAGGATATTATATTTATTCATTTGTACGGATCACATGAAGATTAAACACCCCAGCTTATTACACCTTAAGATTAAACACCCCAGCTTATTACACCTTAAGATCAGGTATCCCAGCTTATTTTACCTGGAGATTAGACATCCCAGATTATTACACCTTAAGATCAGATATCCCAGCTTATTTTACCTGGAGATTAGACATCCGAGCTTATTACACCTTAAGGTCAGGTATCCCAGCTTATTTTACCTGGAGATAAGACACCCCAGCATATTACACCTTAATATTAGACACCCTAACGCTATCTGGGGGTTAAATTAGATTAGGTACGGTTTGGATAGCATTAGGGTTGTTAATCTTCAGGTGAAACAAGGTGGGGCGGTTAATCTTCAGGTGATACTTATTTTACTTAATTCCTACACACTGCAGTAGCCTATAGGTAAACAAAGACAAACACGGGATTAAAGTCCCAAATGTCATTCTTGTTTACACTGAGCAGGATGACGGTACGGCACAGGTAGTTAATTGAATACACTATACAAACACACCTGGTGGGCGGGCAACAAGACACTCCAGGATATTAAACCCAGCTAATAATATCCGGTCAGAGACATCACGTGATGGGGGCGCTGATCCTGGGGAGAAAATTTGAGGGGGGCGTTGATCCTGGGGAGAAAATGTATTTGTAGTGCTTGGTAGGTGAAGCACTTGATAAGCCCGACAGGTGAAACACTAAATAGCCCCGACAGGTGAGGTGAAGCACTGTTGGTGGTAGGGGTGAGGGGGAAATGGTGGTGAGGGTGTGAGGGATTATTTCACCTGATGATTAAACACCCTAACCTAACCTAATCTAACCTAAAGCTAACCTAACCTAACCCCCCAAGGTATAGAGCATAGGGCTTTTTAATCATCGGGTGAAATAAACCAGGATGCTTAATCTTCATGTGCTCCATTATTCCTTGGTAATTTATTTGACCTGAGCTAACGCACACCTGAGGCTCTACCTTAATTAGACAGGTTCTCATTACACCAGAGGAATTTAAAGGTAGATAATATTTTGGAAAGGACTCTCTGTTTTGATTTTGTCTTTTTTTAAGTCTTGTTGAGTTTGAAGTTAAGGGGCTGTATGTAGTTAAGATAGAGTCTAGGTTAGGTTAAGTTAGTTTTAACGTTGTTAACGGTTGTTTTAATTGTGTTTTAGCTTAAGGTAGTGTCGGTTCACTTGTACAGGCTCCTAGGCTCCTCCTTCACTAGCACAGGCTCCTAGGCTCCTCCTTCACTAGCACAGGCCCCTCCTTCACTAGCACAGGCCCCCTCCTAGTAACTCACGATCAGGAGGGAAGTAACTGAGGGCATTGTATTTAAGCCCCATCCTATATTGTGGTCGTCATTGGTAGTGA